AGGCTGGTCCCCAGCAAAATCCAACAGAAAACCCTCTTATAAGGACCAACCAAAAGAGTGAGCAGACTTTGTGGTTTTTCAGAATTCACCAGTCTGGATATTAAAGGGGTGTGTGTGTGTGGGGGGGGAGATGTTTCAGATTCCTGTCTCCATGCCACTTAGATTTCAACACAAAAACTGTGCTGGGTTTATCTGTCTCTTTTGAATATCCAGCCTCACGAAGAGTTCTGACTAGGGCTACCAACCTCCAGGTGGAATCCAGAGATCCCACACTTCTACAACTGATTTCCAGACTCCAGAAATTAATTCCCCTGGAGAAAATGGCTGCTTCACAGAGTGAAGTCTATGGCATTATACCCTGCTGACGTCCCTCCCCTCCCCAACCCCAAATATCCTGGTATTTCCCAACCCAGAGCTGGCAACTCTAGGCTAACCAGAAAATCAGCTACCCCCTTTTTGCGTTATTTTGGTTCCTAATAAAATACATTAATTACAGGGCTTTCGGGGGTTGGCTGGACAGGGCGGTTGGCCCAAGATCACCCAGTCCTCTTCAAAACAAAATGAGGGACATGCACCGGCAGCACACTTCAAACTCACCAATACGCAACTTTTGCCGCAAGAAAGCCTGGGGCACCGATTACATGCACAGGATCACAGCGAAGGGCTACAGTCTCAATACGAAATACTTGATAAAAGGAACCCAAATGAAACTCAAAAGATTCCAAGTCCTTGACCTTGGGCCTGTCACACTCTCTCAGCCTAACCTACCTCACAGGGTTGTTGTGAGGATGAAATGGCGGAGAGGAGAAAAGGCGTAAGCCTCTTCGGATTCCCCATTGGGGAGAAAAGCAGGGTAGAAATGAAGCAAATAAATTAAGATAAAATAGGGGTTGGCAAAGGCGCATGGTCGTGATTAGGTAATTTAGCGCTCCGGCAAAATCACACATAGATCTCCTTTGGCCCTTTACCAGACTGTGCTAGAGGTCGGAAGCTGTCCTGCTAAACTCCCGTGTGATTTACTCCCGAGCAAGTAAGCATAACCTTGCAGCCGTTAATTTCCATCAACTTTACTTCCAAGCCTAAGAGTGCACTGCAAGCCTAGCCATATTTTCTCGGGAGTAAGCCCCAGCCGGTTCATTAGGAGCAGGACTGCGCCTTGACACATCTATATTTCTCTGACTCCCGGGGAAGCCTCAAGGGCGCGGAGCGACACTTACTCCCAAGTAAGCGCGCCAAGGAGGAGATTGCAAGCTCGGGACTCCAGGCTGCAACACTTGCAAGGAGAGAGAAACGCTCTCGGCCGGGAGCGCAGAAGCAGACTCGATCCCGCCCTGCCGGCTGAAGAGGAGAAATTCAAGCGCTGCTCCGGGGCGTGAGCAGCCAGAGCCCCCTGCAGGCCCCAGTGAGATACGGGGAGGGTCCTGTTGGGCAGGGGAGGGAACAGCGATTAATAATAAGGGGAAAGAGACGGGGTGGGATGGAAGAGGGGTCAATAAAATCGGGTGTTTGCAAAATTGGGAGCTTCAGACGACTGAGTTTTCCTAAGCAGGCCCGCCCAGCGTTAAGTCCCATTTTATTCAACGCGCCTTACGCTAAGGAAAATGTTTTTAGGATTGCAGGCTTAAAGGAGAAATCTTGGAATGAGGAAGGGCACGGGGAAAGCAGGTTTCGAAAGATGCAGGGCCCCAGCCTGTGTGTGTTTGCTCGTAAGAAACTCCCACAAAATACCAGTGCATAGATCAGGGACTAAAATCTCTAATCCAGTGGGGTATATTTCCGAGTAAACGCGGAAATTCATACGCGTTTATGGACCAGGCTCAGGTGGGTAGCCGTGTTGGTCTGAAGCATAGGTTCCCAAATGTATTTGGCCTACCGCCCAAAGGCTGCTTTAGATAGGTTCTGGACTCTTCTTTCTTTATGCTTCCACCGCCCCATTATTTGTATTCAACACCCCTCAACTGCACCCCAGGTTCCCACCGCCCACCTGGATCGTTTCAGCACCGGGGGGGGGGGGGGGCAGTATTGCTCACTTTGGGAACCAAGCAACGGAACAAAGTTTGAGTCCAGTGGCACCCTTAAGACCAACAATGTTTAATTCTGGGTATAAACTTTTGTGTGCATGCCCAGTTTTTCAGGTAGGGAGCATAGTGCGACTTTCTTCTGAGTAGACATGGCAAGGGTTGTGCTGACACAATGCAACCCTAAAACATGTCTCCTCCGACATGAATGCCACTGAGCTCTGGGATTGACTCCCCGGTTAGTGCATTTAGGATTGCAGCCTTTTTGGTGTGGTATCCTGCAAACACTTCCCTGGGGTTAAGTGCCGTTGTGCTTGGTGTGAGAGTTGGTCAGGAACAGTAGTGCAATTAGCATGTTTGCAGAGAGTCTCTGGATTTTTAAAACAGGGCGCATGCACTGCAGCACAGAAAGCAGGAGCCATATTTAATGTGCTGCAGAATACAAGTTTTATTCCAGCCCAAATTGGTTATGGAGTCCAGGCCTCTTTCTGAGGTGCATTCAGGGTGAAGAGCCGCTCTTTGCATCTGAAGACATGAGCTCTCAGTCAGGAAAGTTTATGCTAGAAATCAAATTTTGTTCGGCTTCAGTGTGCCAGAAGACACTTATCCCATTTGTGTCTGCTGCAACGGATTAACACAGCTATCCCTCTGGAATTATTCCCGGGGCTTGTGCATGTTACCGAGGCTGTGATGCAGATTATTAGTAAGCATCAGAGCTCTAATCTGATATTGGGAACACTCTGGGAAAATGTGAGAAAGAAAGAAAATGTAGGGAGATGCAGATCGGAAATGGGGCTTTAGGAAACTGCTTGGCCAGTTTGGTGTAGTGGTTGAGTGTGCGGACTCTGATCTGGGAGAACCAGGTTTGATTCCCCACTCCTCCACTTGCACCTGGCTGGATGACCTTGGGCCAAGCCATAGTTCTGACAAGAGCTGTCGTTGAAAGGGCAGTTCTCAAAAGAGCTCTCTCAGCCCCACCTACCTCACTGGGTGTCTGTTGTGGGGAGGGGAAGGGAAAGGAGTTTGTAAGCCACTCTGAGACTCCGAGTGAAGGGTGGGGTATAAAACCAAACTCCTCCTCCTCAATACTTGCTATTGAAATGGGAGATTTGGCACACATCTTCCCTTTCCAAACTGAGGTAGGGATTGGTATTGGTTTCTCAGGATGAGTGGAGGACTGACAAAGGTCAGTTTCCCTGGAGAAAATTATTACAGGGTGAACAGAGAGTCATGAAAATGTAAAATCTGCTACCAGAGGATGTAATGACGGCCACAGGAATAAACAGCTTTAAAAGGGGATGAGATAGATTCATGGAGGGTAAGTCTGTCAATGGCTGCTAGCCATGGTGACTGAGGGGAACCTCCACATTCAGAGGCACTAAGCCTCTGAATCTCAGAGCCAGGAGGTGACATGAGGGAAAGCCCTTGGCCTCTTCTTTCTCCTCGTGAATAGTAAGGTTGCCAGCCTCCAGATGGAGCCTGGAGATCTCTCGCTATTACAGTTGATCTCTAGATGACAAAGGTCAGTTTCCCTGGAGAAAATGATTACTTTACAGGGTGAACAGAGAGCGATGAAAATGTGGAATCTGCTACCAGAGGATGTAGTGACGGCCACAGGAGTAAACAGCTTTAAAAGGGGATTAGATAGATTCATGGAGGGTAAGTCTGTCAATGGCTGCTAGCCATGGTGACTGAGGGGAACCTCCACATTCAGAGGCACTAAGCCTCTGAATCTCAGAGCCAGGAGGTGACATGAGGGAAAGCCCTTGGCCTCTGTGCCCTGTTGTTGGCCCTCTAGAGGAACTGGTTGGCCACTGTGTGCAGCAGGATGCTGGACTAGGTGGACCATTGGTCTGATCCAGCAGGGCTCTTCTTCTGTTCTTATGACTCTGTGGCATTGTACCCGGCTGAGGTCCCTCCCCTCTCCAAACTCCACCCTCCCCCAGGCTCCACCCCCCAAAATCTCCATGAACAATTCCATGTTTATTATGGGGCAACCCTGGAAATACCTATGCTAGAAATCAAAGGTTCATGGAGGATAGGTCTACCAGTAGCTGCTAACCATTGTGACTAAAGGGAACCTCCACATTCAGAGGCAGTGAACCTCCGAATACCAGCGCCAGGAGGCCACATCTGGGGAAGGCCTCAGCCTCTGTGCCTTATTGTTGGCTGCTGTGTGAGATAAGATGCGGTACTAGATGGACCACTGGCCTGATCCAGCAGGGCTCTTATGTTCCGATCTGATTTAGCTGCTCTGTCTATGTAGTAGTAGTAGAATTTATTACAGTCACTAAACCAGCCACATACATATAGTTGTAACAGACGTTTTTAGCTCTGTCTGTGCATTTTTCTATTTAAAATCTAGCCTTTTTAGTTTTGAAATGCAAAGTGTTAATTGGCTCTCAGACATATTCTGATCTGGGATATGTGTGGATCAGTAGGGGACAAAATGCAGAGAAGCCTGCTATGGAGTTTAGATTTCACATTTGAGTTACAGCTTAGGGAGGGGAACCCTAACGCAAATGTCCAAGCTGAATTAGACCAGGGTGTCGGGTTGACTTATCTAGAACTCTGGCCAGAAACTGAGTTTATGTGAGGGGCTGTTTCAGGAGGGGAGTGGGGAAATGCCAGCCTGGAAAGACACCCCGATCCCTCCCGGCCAGAGAGGCTGCAGTCCCCGTTGCCATAAGTCCCCATTAAACACAGTTTCAGTTTCTTCTGCAAGCCCTTCTTGCCCCGAATTGGGATGGGGGAGGTAGATTTGGCTTCCAATGCTTTCCTGCCCAAGCTCTGAATTCTTGGTGCTTGGGGGGGGGGGAAACAGTGGGAGGGCTTCTAATGTCCTGGCCCCACTGCTGGACCTCCTGATGGCAGCTGGTATTTTTGGCCACTGTGTGACAGAGTGTTGGACTAGATGGGCCATTGGCCTGATCCAACATTGGCTTCTCTTATGTTCTCATATATATGATTACCCTAATCGTGATGCCGTGTTTCCTAGTCTCTGCTTCGAACGGGGCCTTTCCGGCCATGGATCCCCAAGAGGTAGAACCAGATGAGCAATTCACCCATATCAAAGGTGCTGAAAGTGCCTGGAACAAAGCAGGAGAAGTGGCCGGAGAGGATGGTATATCTCAGGAGAACACGGGGAGTAGTAGCGATGGCGGCCAGGCCGAGGACCCCCATCCCATTTCGTTTGGCCGAATGCTGGAAGGAGGAGGAGGAGACATTCCGCCTCCCCAGTGTTTGGAGGAAGGAGAAAAACGCCTTATCTTGCTGAAGACGGTGCAGTTGAAAATGGAAGATGACTTCCGGCGAGATGGTCCTTCCAGTCTACCGGATGGACTGCAAGGCCTGCTGTCCCAAGGGCCTAGCCTCTGGCAGCCCGTAGAGGTGACGCCGCAGAGCGTCAGCCTCCAAGAGAACCCCGAGGGAGGCTTAACGGTAAATTTTCTGGAAAGCGTTTATGCAGTCCATGAAATGGAAGTGGTGCCTGTGAACGGTCTGAAAGAAGTGCCGGCATTCAACAACGATCATAGAGCTCCTGAAAAGACCCCGGACATCCTCTGGATTAAGGTAGTTGTGGTGCCACTTGATTGAGGTAGCTGTGTAATTGACAAGGTAGCTCTGCTCGAAGATTCATTACGGCCGCCCGTCTGAGTACTCGGATGTAAATCGGTTTAGACCTTTTGAAGTGCACGGGATTACCTCGGCTTCCTTTGGTTTAACTGCACAGGCGGATCAGTCTGTCCTTGGGTAGCAGCGGAAGATGGTAATGTGATTGCCCTTGCTGTGCCGAAAGATAGTTAGGAACAAAGAATTTACATAAATAATCTTCATCAGGGATATATCTGGATGAGGATCATGTAGGAGGGTTCTTAATACGAATCCCTTTGAAAATTTCCCTCCCCGTTTTTTATATTGCTTAACGTAAAATAAGATTACTCCTATAAATCCAAGGACTCGATATTGCGGTGATGTAGCAGATGTTAAATATTCCTGCAGGTCACCATCGGAAAAAGAGATATTTCATCCTTAGATTCCTTTTGCTAACAGTCAGGGTTGAAGGATTATTGCAGATTGTCTTGTTTCCTGATTTATGTTGGTAGGAGGAAACTGATGTCTCTGCTTGTGAAGGTTCAGATGGTTTAGATTCAGTCTTAATTAGGGATCCCCCTTAAAAGACAGTTGGCCATCCCCGATTTCAGGAAAAGTAATTCATGTGTGGAGACAGGAGGTGGCAAGTGAAATCAGCTATACCAAGTGCACAAAAAGAATTTGAGGGGAGGGAAGGCAAAAAAAAAGCCTTCTCCAAAAACCACTGTGCCTTGCTTTGTACTGATCCCTATGGGCCCCACGCTCATAAGCTTTTTAAAAACCAAAGTGTGCCACTCCAAAAGAACATTTGTGTAGTTAAAAAATTCAGGTCTTCTGTCAAATTCCGAGGATTCCCCCCCCCCCCCCATTTAGACCCCAATTTAGATTTCCATCCTGACCTGGGTGGCCTAGGCTAACCAGATCTCGTTAGGTCTCAGAAGCTAAGCAAGGTCGGCCTTGGCTAGTATTTGGATGGGAGAAGAGCAAGGAATACCAGGGTCATGATGCAGGGGCAGACCTCTGAACATCTCTTGCCTTGAGAACCCTACAGGGCCACCATAAGCTTTTCAGCAGCCGAATCGGCTGCCTAGGGAGGTGAAGAGCTCCCCCTCACTTGCAGTGTTCAAGCAGCAGGTGACAGAGACTCGTCCGGGATGCCTTAGGCTGATCCTGCATTGAGCAGGGGGTTGGAGTAGATGGCCTCTATGACCCCTTTCAACTCTTTGATTCCATGATTCCAGGTTGGCTGTGACTTGATGGGGAGAAAAACAAACAAAACTTAGGTTTCCGAGGGCCGCTTCATACATTACAAAAGTGGACTTTGGATCAAACATGTGCTAGGAGTTCCGTGTTTCCCTGGTGCTGGCAGCCCAATATAGAGTGGGACTACAGTGTACAGGGAGAAGGAGCTTTACTCCCCCTACCTCCCCCCCCCCGCACGTTGTTATACCAATAAGAAATGTCCCCGGGGAGCTCCCTATAGGCTCAGTTGGGAAACTTAAATGGTTACAAATGGGGCCCACGAGCGCCTGGGAAGTGTGATCCAAAGTCATCACGTGGATCAAGAGGACTTTGTAATGACAGAATCAGCCCTAACTGCCGTGAAGTTAATAACCTGATGAATTAACCTGGTGGTGGAAAGTACCATCAAGTCACAGCTGACTTATGGCGACCCCTGGTGGGGTTTTCAAGGCCAGGGACATTCAGAGGTGGTTTGCCATTGCCTGCCTCTGCCTCACGCCCCTGGTATTCCTTGGAGGTCCCCCATCCGCATACTAACCGTGGCCGACTCTGCTTAGCTTCTGAGATCTGATGAGATCAGGCTAGCCTGGGCTATCCAGGTTAGGGCTATTAAGCTGATATGGGCAGTGGAATTGTTTGTTTGGTTTGACATAGCCCCAGTAACTATTATTGGCCCACCTCCTATTATTGTTTTTTTTGTTGTGCGTTTATGTATGTATTTATATGTTTTTAATTGAATTAATGTATATATATTAAGTGCTGTTTTAATGCTCAAATGTTTTCTTTTTTACTTGTATCATCAGTCAGCAATAACAAAAAGTTTTCATGTATACCACCTTAGATACCCTATTTGGGTTGAAAGGCAGCATAAAAATATTTTAAATACATAAAAATATATCAATGTTTTGTGTTGGGAGAAGGGTTTAGTGCACGGTGTAGTGGTTAAGTGTGCGGACTCTAATCTGGGAGAACCAGGTTTGATTCCCCACTCCTCCACTCGCAGCTGCTGGATGACCTTGAGCAAGCCATGGTTCTGATAAGAGCTGCCCTTGAAAAAGAGCAGTTTCTGTCAGAGCTCTCTCAGCCCCACCTATCTATCTCACAGGGTGTCTGTTGTGGGGAGGGGAAGGGAAAGGAGTTTGTAAGCAGTTCTGAGACTCGGAGTGAAGGGCGGGGTATAAATCCAATCTCTTCACCTGTTCTTCTCTTCTTCTTCTTCAAATTACATTCCTTTTCTTTTAAAAAACAGATTGACAGAAGTAAAGATATAATCTCGGATGAAAGTAAGGAGCAGCAGCTGCCCTCAGCTGAAGAGGAAAGAATCAACAATCCCCTTGCGGTTCGAGCAGCGAAGTTTCTGGGTGCCCGAATTAAAGCTGGCTCCTTATCGTGGCCCGCATCAGAAAATAAAGGCCAAGGCGATGAAGCTGCGTCACAGCAGCCAGTTTCAACAAGCACCAACGTCCCTTCAAAAGCCCGAGGAAGCAGAATCCAAAGGAGAGAAGGTACCAAGTCGCTCACACAGCTTTGTACTGTATGTCCCCATACATCTTATGGTAACAAAAGTCTTGTGTGGTGGTGTCGTGTTTAGAAGAAGAAGAAGAGAAGAGATTGGATTTATACCCCGCCCTTCACTTGGAGTCTCAGAGCGGCTTACAAACTCCTCTCCCTCCCCCTCCCCACAACAGACACCCTGTGAGGTGGGTGGGGCTGAGAGAACTCTGACACAAACTGCTCTTTTTCAAGGACAGCTGTGCCAGAGCTTGTGACTGACCCAAGGTCACATCTGCAGGTGCAAGTGGAGGAGTGGGGAATCAAACCCGGTTCTCCCAGATTAGAGTCCGCACACTTAATCACTACACCAAACTGGTTTATAAGAGTGGCAGGCTCTACTCTGATTCCCCACTCCTCCACATGTAGCTAGCTGGGTGACCTTGGGTCAGTCACAAGTTCTCTCAGAGCTGTTCTCTCAAGAGTTCTCTCAGCCCCACCTACCTCACAGGGTGTCTGTTGTGGAACCTCTATCACTGGACCGACTATGGGACAAGACAGGCAGAAGTACAGAAGCAGATTAGTTATGCCAGGTTGGTTTTGCGGACTTGATCAAAGACTTTGCAGTTTTAAAAAGTAGGAGAAAAGTTTTTAAAGTGTAAATAAAGTTGTAAGTAGGCAACAATAAGCGTTGTTTTGCATCTTTTGAGCCATGTAAATTGAAATGCTGTACTTCAAGGTTAGAAAGCAATGGAATAAAAGATGTTTTGTTTTGTACAAGCAATGCTATTTCTCCATTAGAATATCTTTTTAAAAAAATTATCCTCCGATTTCTGTAGAAAGGATTTTCAAAATTGAAAAGTGTGCTCTCAGGATCAAGTAATTTCAGTAGTGATAATATCAGATCATATTTTTCTTTATAATTTTGGGGAGGGTGATTTAAAAATAGTTTTCAATAAATATTTGTATTTGCATTTTCTCCTCTTATAACAGTTTTGTTAAGAAAAAGTTTACATTTAATATAGTTGTGGGGTTGGTTCTGGTCTGGGGGATGGCCTGGAAGAAAACTGAATGTTTTCTTAGCAGTAGAAAAAAGCACGAGGCCAGTAGCACCTTAAAGACTAACAAAATTTGTGGCAGGGGATGAGCTTTTGAAGGGGCTCCGGTGGCTCAAGGGGTTAAGACGCTGAACTGCAGACCGGAAGGTCTGTAGTTCAGCAGTTCGAGACCCAAGTGCTGCATGACGGAGTGAGCTCCCGTCTCTGGTCCCAGCTCCTGCCAGCCTAGCAGTTCGAAAGCAAGAAATTGCAAGTAGATAAATAGGTACCACTTCGGTGGGAAGGTAACAACATTCTGTGCATTTAGTCATGCCGGCCACATGACCACAGAGCCATCTTCGGACAGCGCTGGCTCTTCAGCTTGGCAACAGAGATGAGCACCGCATCCCTAGAGTCAGATTCGACTGGTTTTCGAGCAAGGGAAACCTTTACCTTTACCTATGAGCTTTTGAGAGTCACTACTCAGTTCTTCAGATACCAGTGAAGAATACCTGAAGAAGTGAGCAGTGACTCACGAAAGCTCATCCCCTGCCACAAATGTTGTTAGTCTTTAAAGGGCTACTGGACTCTTGCTCTTTTCTCCTGCTACAGACAGACTAACACGGCTACCCGTCTTGTTTAGTCTCTTATTTCACCTTCAACACTTACTGAGTCTTAACGTCTTGTCAGTTAAGCAGTGGGAGGGGCGAGGGGCACCATTTTTTGGACTGTACTTTGGAGCATCGCTTGGCCTTAAATCCGACCCTACCATCGTCCAGTCACTCTCTCTCAGCCTAACCTACCTCACAGGGCTGTTGTGGCTGAGAGGATAAAATGACGGAAGGGGGAATGATGTAAGCCATTTTGAGACCCCATTGGGAAGGAAAAGGAGGTTTATAAATGTCTAAGTAGATAAATCAGTGTACCGTTAGTTTTCATATTGCGGTATTAAGGCAACATCATGCTCATGGGCAGAAGAGAGCTTTGTTGGTGTTCATCCTGTTTGGATTTTATTTGTGTTTATGGCAATTAGGGGAAACGTCCTCGAGCTGAAGCGAGCAAAGGCTTTCTGTGTGTGGGGTATGAATCACTGATGAATGAAATAATACGATGAGTTTGCTCGGCTCGTCCAGGCTGATGAATATGACAGGAAATATTTTGTAGGCTGAATCGTGAAAGATCATTACAAAAGAGTCATCTGCTCCTGGGAAGCATAAATTGCAACTGGGGGGGGGGGAGAGACATTTCGAGCCCATTTCTCATTTTGCGTCTCGCACCTCCCTCATCATTCAGTGTCACAAAATGCCTTTCCGTTGTGCGGATTTGCAGGTGTTCTGTAATCAGAATGAACGGGGGGGGGGGGGTGGGTTGTGA